CTGGTATTAATGAATCCACACAGTATACACAGCACACATGCGCACAGGTCGGGTGGAACAAGGGAGAAGGCCGGAGTGTGGTAACGACACGTGTATTGAGCGAAACCGAAACCGGAAGCGGAGTGTGTACAAGGTCGGGTCAAGGTCAGTTAGGGGGATGTACAAGCGGGGTACTCTTCCCTGTCCAGGGCCCGTGGTGATTCGTCCGTGGTACCTGCAGTGGGGGAAGAGAGAAAGGGAGGGGCACGTATAAGGTCATATGAGAAACGGGCAAGCAGATACATTCGAGTTTCAAATGCGTTACAACCCTGGCTATCAACTTCACCGCCCAAGGTCAATCATGATCAGCAATGATTTCCAGGTTTAGTTCAGATCAACCAAATCCATCTTCGAACTAGTCATACGTCATGCCCACTGTCCAAGCTTTTTTCGGTTCCAACAACTGCGATGACTTTTCCTGTTATACGTATGCCTCATTTGATTGTATCGTCCTCTCCGTTGCGTTGTTGTCTGCCAAGTTCAGGTTGTTACGGACCGATCACGTCTCAATCGGCATGTTCCCTACAAATGAGGAATGCTGAATTCTTGAATCCACGCAGTGGCACCAAACATGCAGAATAGTTATTTCTGCACATAAATTCCTCTAATTAAACAGGCAAATGCGGCAGACCTCGACCTTGTACCCTAAGAAATAATAATCAGAGTAGTCATCATTCTTGACCTCCTCACCATTCTCTGACGGCTCTTGTGGGTTTGGATGAAAGCGATGCTCTCAGTATATGTATTAATATATATAGAAAACAGGAAAATTCGAACACCAGTGATCGTGTGTGAGTACATTTGCTCTTGCAAGAATTTTGCGTCTTTCTTAGTGCGTAGTATTCACTAGGCATTTTGAGCATTCGAATGAACAAAAGAGTTTTGTTAGTAAGTGGAAATATCAACAAAACTTTGGCGGATTCGATAACAAACTGATTTAGCTGCTTATATTGTGCAGCGGCCATTTTGAGAGTGACCTTTTCTTAGAGCAGTCCCAACATCATTTAACTTTCAAGTTACCGTTCACATTCCGCTGCTAATCTCCACGCCCCATACTGTGCCAGATTCGCTTGAAGTTAGAAGAACCCTTGATACCTATAATTCCACTTGTATAGCGGCCCAACCTATTGCTTAGTAGGTAAGATTTTTTATCTCGTTGCCAATGGCCTGGCTGAGTATGAGAAATATCTTTACCGCGCAGCAATAATTCGGTAAATGTTCCTGTTGGTGACATCATTTCATGAGGAGAATGGAATCGAGATATATTTTGACTGATGCGGAACACACTTGAAGGGGCAATTTAACAAATTTGTTACCAATCAGGTTAAAAGTCTTGCTTGCTCCCTTAGTCAAGGGCCGCGTTTGTTATGAAAGTATTTCCTGCAATTAGCCTGGAGATTATTCTCTGGCCTCCCTGGAATGAATGAACCCGACGTTTCAACGGGACAGTCTGCATGATCATGTCACACGACGGCTGTATAAAATCAAGTGTGAAGCCCTAATGCGGACCAGCGGGCAGTTTCATTTGCACACGTCTAATGAAGACGTAGTCGTCTCTTGAATCAAATTGACGCTTTAAAGCACTGTTACTTGTATTATACCCGGATTTGGATTTGCAGATTCCTGAAAAAAACACGTGGAGGCACACGGGTTTCCAGGCTTCCGACTACTGGGCTTCCGTAACCGTGTCTTTGTTACCATCGTATTTGGGCTCTTTGAAGACTGTCCGAGAGCCGCTCCACACTTTCTTAAATGGTAAAGGTTAAACAACAACAATAGTGAGTCATATACATACCGCCCAGAAGGTCCCCACCGCATAGCGGACCAGGATGACATTCGCAATGGTTTATTCGACAGAATAAGCTATCTACTGAATATCATCCATCAAGGAGACAGGTTCGTGAGTCGCAACTCGCCAAAAATTAACCTGTGTCACGAATTTCACGGATGGACAGATTGATACATAGGATCGATGCTTCCACACAAGTTTCCCGGGTCGGCGTTGCTGTTGCCGTTCAGCGAACGTCGTTCATCATGTGCAAATGTGCACGGAAAAGAACCGAGACTTCCATCAGTGTTGAAGCTTAGTATCACTGATAAGCGACGGAAAGTTGAATGTTTCGTGCGTTGTGTATTGCCGCAGCAGACTTTGACCTCGATCACAAATGCCTCATGGTATTTGTGATTACTTGGTCCTCGATTCATTAAACTTTTTGCTCCCTGGTTATGCTGTTTCCGAGACCATTCATGCGCATTCTCATGTCTGAGGACAGGCTGGGCGCGGCTTGCTGTTGGCGCCTGGAAGTTTCATTCACGCGATCTATAATTAGCCTGCCGTAGTTCTTCCGGTCAAATGATGTGGTTTAAGAGTCCTGAACAAAGACGTCCCAGATTGACAGAAGATGCATGAGTAGACATTCAAAAGACCGCTCTTAGAACGAAGTCATCTTAATTCAGGATTTAGTTCTGAACAAAACGATACAACGTAAGCATTAAGTTATTCTTCCATGAGCCTCTCAACATGCCGGGGCACGAGTGGGACCACCAGACTGTGCATCCTCATGACATCCAACTGACAGTTGATTGTCACAGTAATGAAGCGAACAATCCCAATATCCAGCATTTTTGTAGATGGGACATTATGGTGGCTTTTGTAGGAACTGTGCGGTTAAATCGAAATCCGCCGCGTGGCATTGCTCATGTGAGTCATGAAACAGAAAATGTACCGACTGTTAGGTTTGTCTGCAAACAAAATACATCGATGTCAAACGACCCATACGTACTTTCTTATAACTTTTCACGTGTAGAAGTGTCACAACGTGACATCAAAGCCGATAATGTCCTAGTCGTTTTAACTAGCACGGCCATTTTATCTATGGCGAAGTCCGTACTTTGTACTCAATGATTGCCTTCTCTTTAAACGTACGCAGTAGTTCATGCATACGCGCGAGCTTTTCGCTGCCCGCAACGGAACGCGTAACAAGATGCCTGATATACATGTCATAAGTGAGCGGAAAAACAGTGAAAGTGGATCAACCTGTCACGGCTGAGTTACTTCAAGGGGACATATTCTAAAACTTTGTTCATGTGTGTTTCGTCAGCTTAGGGACGTCTCATCGACGAAGTCCGTTGCGCTCCACCAAAGGATATGTGGTGGTGATTCTTTTTCGCAAATGTAAAGTTACCAAGCGTCCGCAACGTTTGGTAACACAGAAGGCCACACCATCTGGTTCTTACCCAAAGTGTTGACATGGTTCGCGGGGTAGCAAAACTCTCCATATTGACCGGCTATATTTCAGCGAATAAATGCACGTCCCTACTCATCCCAGTAATTGATCCGTTCACAGGGAGTTGGTCATTCAAAAGCTTATTCACATTACTGTAATTGTAAGAGGCAGCTGATATATGGTCTTCGCTTCTTCTTAGACAAGTCCGGCTGGGCAACTTTTGCCTCGCCTATTCTTTGGCCTAAATTAACAGCTTATTTCGATACATCTCATCAGCTTGATTTTGATGGTTGCCCACTAATAAAGCAAAACAGCGTCGGTGTCATTTACCAGCCATACGCGAAAAAATCCCTAAATGTTTATCAGGCGCATTCTCGAAGGCTGTGATGGATCAAAAATGCAACAACTAAATTCCCAACATTTCTGAGTCGAGCCCACAATAAAGCGGGTCACTGCGCGCCAAAAAATAACGAAGACGAGGCCAAGCGCATTAACAGAAATACAGCAAGCTATAGTTTTCTGGTTTCCGCAAGTACACCAGAATTTTCCTCACCCCAGCTCAAAAATTTGCTTTTACACACGGCAGACGTGGAGAGAATCGCATATGTCGGGTAGGGCAAAAATGTGCCCACTTTATCTTATGCACAAATAAGCAGGATTGACAACGCCGATTGCTAATAAACCATTTTAGTTTATAGCCGGAACTAGCATTTTCTGACTTTCCATCCATTTAGTGTACCTTTTTGCGCACACTTTCGTGGGATGACGGTCAACTTTGGTTGCCACACAGTTTAGGCTACCAAACGCAGACAACTTATTGGAGCTTAAATCCGGTACGGGGTATCTTGGATGAGAAAATAAAAGTCCAGGCGCCGAAGACCATGAGATGTTAAGTTTCCATAAGCATCATTCCAAAAATGTCCAAAAGCTCTCAGAGCTGAACTAAACTACCGTCCTCATCGGAAAATGTGAGGAAAGATGACAAACGGCATTTAAGCTAAACAAGGTGGCACCGTACGCAAATACATATCAGCTTAATAACTCTCATGGGAGAGAACATTTTAAACCATTGTACGGACCTCTAAGTTGGCGTGATGTAAGTGAGTTAGGTTCCATGAACTTTATCAAGCACGGGCGAACATGTCAGCCCATATATCAGACTGTTCCTTTTGATCTTCGCTGTTTGGTGCGATTTTGTAGGGGCGTGATATACCCCAGAAAGCATTTTCACCGGCTGCCACCGATTGTGACCTGATTCATTCCACTTGAAAGTAAAGCGGACACCGAAATATGTAACGGTGTCTGTTGGAACAACAAGAGTGGCTAGTTTCTCGGCTAAGCAAAAGGGTCCAACCGAAGCTGCCATCGCCCGGTGTTTACTGTCTCCACAAATAACCGTCTTGATCATCTCCGGGGATTCGGTCTTCATTCCAATTCCTTCCAACCCAACCGTACCTGCTTCGGGTTCCTCTTGAAGGCAAATTCGATAATCGGCACACATGACGCGGCTAGAAGGGGAGGAATAAATACCACCGACTGGTGTTTGATTGAGCTGACGCCGCAATTGATGCATGAGCATACAACCTGGCCATTAACGCACTCACTAGTTCCTTGATGGCAATCTGCTTCTGTTCAAGCACAAGAGATTTATAGTTTCAATAAGCCTAACTTGCGGTTTACTCGATGTTTACTAAAGCTACATTGCTGTGGTAGAATGTCTCTCCTCCAATCGGACTAAGTGTGGTTCATCATTTCCACCTTGCTCCGCGTGGTTGGAGCCAACGCCCCGGCAGCTTAAAATCATTCACTTCTCGAAATGGTCACCGGTTCAAGTTCAAAATAGTGGAGTTGTACAACTCACCATAGTGATACCAATCTCATCTCTAACGTGCCGAGGTCTACCATGCTCACCTCAAGGCAACTGCGTTTCCCACTTCCTAAACTCCATTGTGATTAGATCGTGAAAATTTCGACAACACTGCCTATGTTAAATACTGCTCATTCCTAATGACTGCCCTTCCACACATTGCCAAATACTCGCGACTGATGTCCGTGGCACCTCTGTTCTGAATTCACGCCTTACGGCGTGCCACTCACCATTTGGAAGTGAATAATAAAAAGAACAATAACTTCGACCGTTTTTAATGACGAAGTTTACCATACAGATTTGGCCCCGTCGACGTCCACCCAAGTATCTTGAAAGAAACGTCCTCCACACTGGCAGACCATTTACACTTGGTGTTTCGTCAGTCGCTCGACGAAGGCCGCCTCCCCCCTGCTTGGAAGGAAGCGATTGTCACGCCAATCTACAAAACTGGCCGACTGTCGCCGGGAAGCTACACGCCTATAAGCTTCACCAGCGTACCGTGCAAGGTGATGGAGCGCATTCTGAAGCAACTTTAGATCACCTTACTCCAAGCAACCTGATATCTCCAGCTAAACACGGATTTCTCCAAAGCCGCTCTTGAGCGACAAACACGTTCGTGTTTATGGACAGCTTAACCCAAGCCAAGGACGAAGGACTCATATTGTATGCCATATTTCTCGATATTTTTCGACGCCTCAAAGGCGTTTGATAGGGTCCCACACCTCCCGCTGCTCCACAAACTCGAGTCTTACGGGATTCAAGGGAAAATCCTTCGCTGGATCAAGGCGTTCTCATCAGGCAGATCATTCCGAGTGAGAATAGGATCGACCTACTCTTCTCCAGCGCCTGTCTCCATTTGAGTTCCCCAAGGCACCGTCCTGGGACCACTGCTGCTTCTGATCTACGTCAACGACCTTCCAGATGTTCTTGCACGTCCATGTCTAATTTTTGCGGACGACTTGAAATTCTGGAATTCCAATACCAGTGCCCTCCAAAATGGATATAGACGTTGCAAAGCAGTGGTCGTTGGACTGGCACCTTCCTCTGAATGATGAAAAGTGCGTCCATATATCGTTTGAAGGGATTCAGCGAATGACTTTGCTATGTATGGTGAAAAGGGACCAGAAAACATCATGAGGATAGATGTCAAAAAGGATTTGGGCATCTGGGTCTCCTCAAACTTGTCCTTCTCACTGCACCATGAAATCGGCCCAAAGGCACTCACCATTTTACGGATGATCCGCCGCACCTTCTCCCGTATTACTCGCATGGACTTCCAAACGCTCTATGGGGCATACGCCAGACCACTCCTGGAATACACCAACCAAATTGTCTACTCAGGACGCGCGAAAGACGTAACCCTTATTGAGCGCGTGCAGCGAGCCGCCACGAGAATAGATTCCGGCCTCAAATCCGTGGACTACGATGATGTCTTTCCCCTGGAGTACCGTCGCCTCCGAGGGGACCTAATTCTTAATTATGCCCTGTTTGAACAAAGCTTGACAAACAAGTTTTTCACCGTTGACTCAGCAACCACACGGCGGGGACAAAGTACGATAATTTTCAAGCTCAGGGCACACACATTCATCAGACAAACTTTTTTATCATTTCGGGTGGTAGGTGCGTGGAATAACCTTCCTCCGATGATTGCCCACTCTCCTTCTAAAACCCAGTTTAAAGCACTACTAGGCATTTGTCTATGCGAATCCCCGCACTGACAAGCATGCTGCCCCGCGCTGAGAACATAAGGAGCAGTGCTGTACCCTCTTTTCAATTGTGCCTTTCAGGTAAATGACAGCCACTGACCGACAAGAACAAAAGTGACCCGGGAAGCTTGGGCAAAGGCCTCGATCTAGTGTATCAATCCGGGAATCCGTGAAAACCTCACTCATCTGCAGCATGGATCCCTGGAGGGGGACAACCTAATATGACATTCTCCCAGAACTGTGCAATCCTGTAGAGCCAGGGTAGCCAGTGTTCCAATTGCCTTCCAAAAAATTGGGTCTAACTGACTAGCAAATGGATTGTACGACCAGATGTCCTGCATTATTTAGCTCATGTGAACTCCAATCTGAGAGCAGTATTGCGTCACTTACCCGGCTTAGGGTTTTTACCGAAGGGCAACTTTTCCAAATATTGTTCGGCATCATAAGGTAAGCCGCCTTTACCTCCGTATTATTTCTTGCACGACCCATCTAGCAAACCGGGTGCTGCTGCTTTCCCTCCTCGGCATTGTAGGGTCTGGATGCCAGCATGGTCAACTCGGCGGATCTTCTTTTGGTTGACCGACGTACCCTTGGCCGAGTGAAGACGCTGTCTGGATAAAGGTTTCCACATGTGTAGGAATGTATTGGAGGGATAGAAGACTAAATGTGACAGGACTTTACCCGGTTCAATGGCGTGATATTGTAACCCTCGGGCAAAGCCAGTAAATTAACTACCACACTTGAAATAAAGGAGTGCCAAGGTACATTCCATTGCTGGAAGCGGGCGCTATGGTCTTCACAGTTAGACGGGTGCAGAGCTGCCTGCCCAACTGCTTGGTCAGAGATCCTCGAAGACCATTTGTCCCAGTCGGCCTGTCAAATGACTGCACCTGACAAGGCTTCCTTAAATAAACAATGGTTTTGGAGCAAATAGCATATGCCGGATAAAGATGGGCTCACCTGGTCACTGGGCGTTGGGCCCCTTGGAGCAGCGCAAAGGAAAGATGCCGAGGGTTCATGGGACGTGGATTTCTGAAAAAGAAATAATACAGGGAACCAACCGGATGTCTTGTTACGGTCAGAATAATGCTATGCATAAGACCGTTTGTACGTGGAAACTTTCACGTCAATGACATATGCTCTCTACGTTGACCTTGAAGCGTCTCATACGAGTTCGGTGATGGCTTTCCGGCATGGATGGGCCGTATTCGTGCATGTAAGTGAAACCATCCATTTGTGGGAGTGAGGTGGGGCCGTTTTTAATGGTAGAACGGCAGCTCGTAACTTCAGGAACTGAGCTTACTTCGCAAATTTGCCGGTGCCAAAATTCACGCAGTCGAATGTTTTATTGAGGTGATGAGATTATGAGTCTTTTATTGGGCAGAATCACAGAGATGGTTATGCACTAGAATAGACGGAACACGGTAGAAGACGCCAGGCGAAATAGCATGTACGTACGTTGAATTTTTCGCCGGTGAGGAAATAATTTAGATATAATCAAATACACTTCGTTGAGTGGTCTCACTTCGCGCCAAGACAGAACTGCGGAACGTATGAGATTGACTTCACTGAAGTGGTCAAAAGTTAGCGTGTTTTCTACTCCTGGATAACTTTCTCCCTCAAACGCAGCCTTCACCACAAGTGAAGGACGCATAATGCAGGGTAAATTTATGGGTTTCTAGACTTTTGATGCACAATGACTACAGAAACGAGCAGATTGCTCTGAGTAAAAGCTATGCAGGAAACACCCTATCTGTGGTAATTTCATGGAACTACTGCGCGAACCGACAAGTTTGCTGACGGGTGCTGGAAATTTGAAACACTTATTAATGTCAAGGAATCCGGTCTCACGGGGCTAAGCAGTATATGTGTAACTGAGGACTACCGCGCTGGAAGGAAGGCCATTCCTGCGGCCTCGACTGTACCGGACCAAAAGGTGCTTCCACAGCGCAGGCTCAGAACTCACGCGAATAACGCTACCAAGAACAGAGGGGTATAGGACATTTTGGATGCTCAGGAGAATACTCCTACACGCGGAGCCTTAAACTGTTCAGCTGGATACAGTCGGTATTTGTGCGGCCAGCAATTAAGTAAGGAAATTTTACCTACTTTCCACGCACCAAGCGCATTAAAAAATAACTCAGGCCAGCAAATCGGCCGCAGCAAGGGCCTGGATGGAGGCATTGTCGTATTAACGACGGAATCAATAAATGAGGCTTGTTCGCCCGCACCAGGAGTGAGACAGTAATTTCCTACTCCCTGTGCCCTCAGGCTAGGCTGGAACCCTACAACCAAGTAGGTCAGACTACTGAGATTTGGCTCCGGGCACGGTCGCCCAGGAAAACCCTAAGAACCGCTGTCTTGCAGTCCAGACTTTTGAGTCAGAGGCTAGGCCAGGGTTGGCCAGCAATTAAGTAAGGAAATTTTACCTACTTTCCACGCACCAAGCGCATTAAAAAATAACTCAGGCCAGCAAATCGGCCGCAGCAAGGGCCTGGATGGAGGCATTGTCGTATTAACGACGGAATCAATAAATGAGGCTTGTTCGCCCGCACCAGGAGTGAGACAGTAATTTCCTACTCCCTGTGCCCTCAGGCTAGGCTGGAACCCTACAACCAAGTAGGTCAGACTACTGAGATTTGGCTCCGGGCACGGTCGCCCAGGAAAACCCTAAGAACCGCTGTCTTGCAGTCCAGACTTTTGAGTCAGAGGCTAGGGCCAGGGTTCCCGAACAAAACTCTACATCGTCCCACTGCCTTGTGAGTCAGAATTTTGAGTCAAAGGCTCAAGGTAAGGTATATCAACTAATCTTCATTCTTCGGCCTAGGCATTTGGGAAGTACCATTCTCCCTTGCAGTTGGTCACTCACCGGCCATTCCCCCTCATTCCCTCCCAACCCGTCGTACGATTCAGTGCAGTCAACCCATCTAACAACCCCCCAGCCACTATTCCGTGTCTCAACTATCGCCCAAAAAATGAACAGAAATAATCAAATTCTAACCTCCAGAGGTCTGATGTACTTTGCAGCGTTCAATGTCCGTACTCTATATCAAATTGGGCAACAGGCATCCCTTGCTGAAACCTTACTCCCCCTCTCTATCTATGTATGTTGTGTCTCCGAAACACACATACGAGACCTTACTTCGGTTGTGCTCCTCAAGCCGCTTAGGACGAGCCCAGGCGTTTCTCATTTCACTATTCAGATATCCAGAGATGCTGACTCTAAGCAGTATATGTGTAACTGAGGACTACCGCGCTGGAAGGAAGGCCATTCCTGCGGCCTCGACTGTACCGGACCAAAAGGTGCTTCCACAGCGCAGGCTCAGAACTCACGCGAATAACGCTACCAAGAACAGAGGGGTATAGGACATTTTGGATGCTCAGGAGAATACTCCTACACGCGGAGCCTTAAACTGTTCAGCTGGATACAGTCGGTATTTGTGCGGCCAGCAATTAAGTAAGGAAATTTTACCTACTTTCCACGCACCAAGCGCATTAAAAAATAACTCAGGCCAGCAAATCGGCCGCAGCAAGGGCCTGGATGGAGGCATTGTCGTATTAACGACGGAATCAATAAATGAGGCTTGTTCGCCCGCACCAGGAGTGAGACAGTAATTTCCTACTCCCTGTGCCCTCAGGCTAGGCTGGAACCCTACAACCAAGTAGGTCAGACTACTGAGATTTGGCTCCGGGCACGGTCGCCCAGGAAAACCCTAAGAACCGCTGTCTTGCAGTCCAGACTTTTGAGTCAGAGGCTAGGGCCAGGGTTCCCGAACAAAACTCTACATCGTCCCACTGCCTTGTGAGTCAGAATTTTGAGTCAAAGGCTCAAGGTAAGGTATATCAACTAATCTTCATTCTTCGGCCTAGGCATTTGGGAAGTACCATTCTCCCTTGCAGTTGGTCACTCACCGGCCATTCCCCCTCATTCCCTCCCAACCCGTCGTACGATTCAGTGCAGTCAACCCATCTAACAACCCCCCAGCCACTATTCCGTGTCTCAACTATCGCCCAAAAAATGAACAGAAATAATCAAATTCTAACCTCCAGAGATCTGATGTACTTTGCAGCGTTCAATGTCCGTACTCTACATCAAATTGGGCAACAGACATCCCTTGCTGAAACCTTACTCCCCCTCTCTATCTATGTATGTTGTGTCTCCGAAACACACATACGAGACCTTACTTCGGTTGTGCTCCTCAAGCCGCTTAGGACGAGCCCAGGCGTTTCTCATTTCACTATTCAGATATCCAGAGATGCTGACGCAATGACTCATGGTATCTACGGTGTGGGAGTTGCCTTAAGCCCCAAAGCTGAAGGCACCTTACTGGACTGGATCACAGCAAACAATCGTCTTTGCGCTCTGCAGGTCGATGCGGTAAACGATGTCCGTTTGTCATATCAGCATTTGCCCCAGCAGACAGCAGTTCTGAGACTGAGAAAGATGAGTTTTATCAAGATCTTTCATGACTATTTCAGTCAGCGAGAAGGACGGATATGGTAATCCTGACGGGTAATATGAATTCCCAAGTTAGACAAATAAGTCCGTGAGAAACACCGTTAGGTGATCGATTTTGAGTCGACTCGGAGCGTAGAGATAATGCAGAGCGGCTTCTTTGGTTGCGTGCAGATCATCTTCTGTTCCTGGTCAATCCGAACTTTTAACACAAAAGCACACACCGAGTTCCAGTAACTGAAGAGTATGGAGCTGATTCGGCTAGAAAGCTACGTCATGTAGACGACGAAGATTGCTTGGAGAATGAATGGAGGTGAGTTAAAGAAGCACTGCTCTCAGCTTTCAGAACTGTTTGTCCAATCCATCTGACTCGACTAAATGAACACCGGATATCTTCGAGATCAGCGTATCTTATTTCTACCACAAAACCCATACCAGCAACTAAGGACTGTGACGGCGCACAGAGAACCCTCAAACCCAGGATAATCAGGAGCCTGAAGAGCGACAGAGAACTATGGTGGGTTTCGAAAGCCCAGGAGATGGAGAAGGCTTTTGCTGAAGGCAACAGCCGCGCCTTGTTTCAACTGGTCCGATCAATGGGTCAAAAGATGACTGGCGTCAGTTAGACAATATGCAAAAAAGATGGATCAGCAACTCACTCCCTTAATTGCCGTCCTGGTGGTGGGTCGAGCACTCTAAAGAACAGTTCACCTGGTCTCCTTCAATGTAATCGTTGGAAGAACCAAGTGGACCCGAATAATACATTAACACCAACCGACCATCAGCAACCGAAATCCAGCGCGAGGTCTCAGTCCTGAAGCACGACAAGCCACCTGGTCCGCATGGTCTACACCCCGCGCTCTTCAAAGGAGGTAGGGAGGTCATGGTGAACAATCTGACAACCACATTGCAGAATATTTGAAACGAAAGCAAAATATCAGCCGAATGTAGCTTCTCAACCCTCATCCCAGTTTTTAAATAGGAACAAGAACGTCATGTGAAAACCATCGCGGTATCAACTCGGTATCGGTCGCATCTAAAGTGCTCTCTGGCATTATTTTGCACAGGTTGATGGATAAGGAAAGACAGATTCGTGCGAAGTAAGCTTGGCTTCGCCCTGGACAAGAATGCACCGACCAGGTCTTTACCTTGAGAATAGCGCCCCTTCTTCAGACGTCCCACGTTGACCGTTTTTCTGGATTTAAAGGCTGCTTTTGATTCTGACCATCGTCAGCATCTTTGGCAGTGTCTGGCGCTCAAAGACGTCCCTTCCAACTTTTACTCCCTTGTGTGGTCACTGTATGCGAACCATTGTGGGCGCTTACTGATATACGGGAAGCTCTTGTCTCAGTTCCCCACGTTTAGTGGTGTAAGACAAGGCTGTCCTCTTTCCCATTTCCTATTTAACCTTATTTTTGATACACTGCTTGAAGTTGCTCTGACTGTCTCTGAAACCTTGTGAGTCGAAATGCACCCGGGACGTTCAATCATAGACGTCGAGTATGCAGACGATATTGCTCCACTTGGTTCAGATCCTTTCCAAATGCAATCCATTTTAAATAACCTAAACAACTCCGCCGCACGATTTGGCATGCGATTTACGCTTGCAAAGTGTGAGGTGTAAGGTACTTCTGGTGCTCAAAGGATAACGGGACGCTAAACAATCCTTTGCACAGAGAGACCACGAGCAGCTGCCATCATAACCGTGCGCTAGAGGCGGATAAGGAGCAGTTGCAAATACCAAAGAGGGGGTAAATTATTACGGAACTAGTGGGCCAGTCAAACGAACGAAAATGCCAAATTCTGGAGCTCTGTACGCCTTTGAGCATCCCATAAACATGGTCAGACAAAAGCGGTGCGTAGAGCTTACGTGCTTATCATCAGCACCGGCCGAGCTCAAAGTGCAGCGAGCGGATGGGCAAACATATCTGTTGATTTTCCAGGTGCACTAGTACCGAGTGGAATAGACTTTGAACTCTGTTAGTCCAGACCCATAATGCGGACAGATTCAATCACCTGTTTGACTAGCGCTCGGGAAAATCTGCTTCCAGATTACACTGAAGAAAAAATACGTGACAATCTCGGCCTTCTTTTCTGTAAAAAGAATGAATCATTGAGTTGGCTACAGGCACATTAGACATAGTTTTGTAAATGAGAAGGTAAGTGGCCAAATAGGACCACTTGACTGGCTTACATGAAGCCTGCGACCCGCTCCAAAAGTAGACAAAGTACTGCATGCACGATTTCAAGAACTGATAAGCTGTTTTGGTATAGAGTCTCTTTGCATAAAGATTCAATCCCAAGTACGAGAGTCCAATAGCCTTCTAAATGTAGATTCTGATGTTGGTCCCGGAACCCAAGTTTTGCAAATGGAAGCAGAAGATTAAGTGCACTAACCTGATACTTTCTGGTTCACCATCCCTTGAATAGTAAAATACATCCTGCTTTAAAAGTATGTTCAAATTTTCGGCAAAGACAGCGCATTTTATGGCTCTTCGTCAAGGCTGGAGCTCTTAAAAATGATCGATCGTGATGCTTAGGAGAAAATGTGATCATAGGCTTTCATCATTTAGACAACTAGGTTTGATTTTCTACAGTAAATCCCTTTGCAATTACTTAATGCATAGTTTAGCGTCTTCTTAAATCCAGAACTCAATGAATCGGATAAGATGTAGCTTAAATACGTAGACACATCGAACACTCAGAACCGCTTCTGGTAGCTGTATATTGTTTGGCCTGCTGCTTAAATTGTCGAATCGAGCAACGAATGCATAGATAGGATTTAATACTCTTGTGGAGTCACGACATACATACATGACATACACGCTACGTGATTTGGTAACGGGAGGATTTTCGATGGGATTTTGGACGTCTGTTTGAATTCGAAGACAGGCAGTGACCTAACTTGTTTTGACCGAGTTATCTCCACTGGGACCTACTGCCACACAGAGTAGTATACTTTGCTAGCGGTTAGGCGATAGTATTATTGTGGAGTTCTTGTTGCTCTTTAGTTCGGATAAACTGGTCGACTGGCTGGATGGAGTAAAACACCTGCGGAAGACCGTATAGGTCAGGACAGAGGGATTACAGTGTCCGGAGAATGAAGACTAATCCGGTCCCCTGAATCTGTTTTCTTGTTGCTATCAAACTAATCGCCATTTGGGAACTGTAAGGTTATAAATCCGAGGGTACTGCGCGTCGAACACATGGTTCTGGCATGTTATTATTAGGTCGAGCCGGACGAAAGGTTACCGGAACGAACGCAGAAGCAAACTGCCTAATTGGTGTTAGCCAATAGAGCCTCATTCCCACGAAATGTTGAGCTCGTTAACGTTTCACACTGTGACGTTGGAGAAGGCCGCTAGACAACCCAGAGCATAACATATTAACCGTTTAAAACCCAGCAACACCCATCTTAGTCAGGAATCACTTAGTCACAGAGAAAACAAGATTCATAAACGCAGTCATCTCACCTGCTTCCGACAGTTGTTCGACTTAAGTAGACATCTAAGAATTTCGTCCTCTACAGCATCGATAAGCACACCAAGCCCACCACCACTTAAATAAATAATGAACAATTGATATCAGATAGCACATTTCATAATTTAAAAAAAGTTTGGTCTGTTACGATATTCCAGCTTTATATTAGTGATTCTAACTAACAATCGTTTCCACATGTGAGCGGGACCATCAAGGATCGGAAATGAGTGACCATCTCGAATAAAAAGGAATGCCTCGAACGGTGGGCCGAACACTTCGAACAACAACTGGTGTGGCTACCAGCTGGAACTTATCTAGGGCTTACAGGTGACGTAGAGCCCTGGACGCTGAACATGGAATCGCCTACGGCATCGGAGGTTTATGTTCTCTCAAGCTACACCGAGCTTATGGTCCGGATGACCTCTCATCCGCATTGTTCATTTTTGTATTTGGGAAAAAGAGTCTGTCCCAGATAACTGGGGCGAATCGGTGATAGTACCCATTTTCAAACAGGGGGCTTGTAGTGAGTGTGACAACCACAAGGGGATAAGCTTGACCCCAGTCGTAACGAGACTGTTTGCATCACTGGTGCTTCGTCGCATTACGGTGGCTCGTGAGACACTGACTCGAGAGCAGCAATCGGGGTTTCGGTCGGGTAGGGGTTGCGTTGACCAAATATTCACACCGCCAAGTGCTAGAACAACGCCATACGTATAAGCGACCCACAATTCTAGTATTCCCTGATTTCCAAGGCGCATTCGATTCGGTTGGCCGATCTGTTCTTTTCACACTTGCCCACCAAGATACGTCCCGACAGTTCGTGGACATAATAAACTCTTTGTATTTCCAGACTTCCGGACATGTGAGAGTATGCGGCGAGCTCTCCAAAAACTTCCGTATACAAAAGTGGTTTCCGTCAGGGACGCTCACTCTCACTATTTCTGTTTTGAAATCGGTGAAATCATGAGACGAGCGCTGGATGATCTCCGAACTTCCGGTGTTCAAATACCCTGTGACGAAAACCTTGTCGATATGAAATATGCAGACGACGTCGTTCTCATCTAGTAGGAGTAGAAGGCGTAGATGTTCTGAATGAACTGATCAAAGGTTCACCGTCCTTTGGTATGAACTTTGCACCCACAAAGTCACGCTTGTGGAAGGGCAGTCACTGAGCACGCCACGTAAAATCCAAGGAGAGGTACTGGAAGTTGTGGGGCGTTTTATGTATCTTGAAAGTTGTATAAGTTCTGACTGTAGTGTGGCAGGTGAGGTTAATGCAATATTCTGCAAGGCCCGGGTTGTGTTTGCTAATATGAGACACCTACGGCGTCAGAGTGGTGTATCGCTGAATCTCAAGGGACGTGTGTATGAAGCTAAATTACGGGCTGTTTTTTGAATGGGTGTGAGATTTGGCTTGTTTGAGCAGTGGAAAAGAAGTTCGACATTCGTTTTCTCGAAGTCATACATCGTGTGGGTTGGTGCCGGTGAATCCGTAACGAGATAATTAGAAATCGTTCAGCTGTAACATCCTTTCGGGGCCTAACTTCCATGCCACCCGAAGGAAGCACAAGGGCTGGGATACTGTCAGGTTGCCCAAGCCTAGATCGCGGAAGCTGAGTCGCGTAGGTCGGGTTAAAACCACGGACCTTCCGGTTAGTAAATTCGCGCTCTAATCACCTGAACCTTCTCGCCATTTCTTTTCTTCGCCATACGGCTTTCAAATAAATCATGGTTGTACGCCAGCGTTGCATCGGTGTTGAACACTGATGTCATGCTCTCGATGGTGATGATGACTAAGAGCGGTGAATCCAATTTTAGGCGCGTTTTTCCGTTGCAAAACCAAAGCATTCATTGCTCTCTGACTTCAAAAAAGTACGTTGGTAGCCATCCACCAACTACTGGTTCCAAAAGGAAGCTTTAGAACCTTTGGAGCTTACTTTCTGTGGATGCACTATAAGTGAATATAACACTTCTTTTAAATGCAGTCTATATGAACAACCCAGATGCATTTGGAGTTGGTTGCAATAGTATAGACCCTATAGTATAGTATAGTATAGTATAGGGACTGGTCTAATCCTGATAAAAAGCCTAAATATGCACTCCGGTGTACTAAATCTTTTGACTGACCTGAGTCTTTCTATCTAGACGTTTTCGTCCTACTTGACTAAGAGGCTGTGAATGACAATTGTGCTTTGTTTGCGCGCCAAACAGACACAGACTACCCATCTTAACAAGAGTTGGTGAGTAAACTTTGCGTTATCCCTGGACGTTCAACGTGAGGTAAACCGTTTGTTAAATTATTCTGAACACGCAGCAGACTAGCATGCAGGATTACCGTTGTACAAATAGATTTTATGGAACTGAGTGGTTAATCTCTTCCTAGTTGGTTATACTAAAGACCATGAGTAGGTGCATATTCTGGATAGTTAAGCCCAAAATGTGGCAAAGCAACATTTTTATACTTTCTGACATGTGATTTCGGGATGTGTTAGCCGTTAAGGGACAAAATTCCTAACCTGGAGATTTTTTATTTAATGCCAACCCTGAATTTCGATTGCTCTTGTCCTGAATTGGGAAACCTGAGATTCGCTCTTCCCCCAATCTCTCCTTTACCTGCGTTTGATTTGAATCGAAAAGGAACTGCATATGGATTCTTATGCATTTTTTCTGCATGACTGCAGTATAGCGAATTCCGCTAGTGGGATGTTCTCGCTTAACTAATAACCGGGGGTGTCGAAACTTATCGCTCCACCCAAACGGACCAACGTCATTTCTAATCAGTAACCTTAGTCACCCGTTCCAAGAACCTTAGACTACTAGCGACATCCCAGTATATTTAAAGGACAGTTTGTTGTCTGACCTACAGGGAATCTGTGCTGTTTTACATTAAGTCTAAAATAAAGAGGACGCTAGAAAATGACTACATTGGAATATTCAGTTTAGCTGGGGGAGTCGGATTGTCGTGCAAGTCCGACCTTTTTTACCAGTGAGATAAACATCCCACAGAATAACACTACACATTTCAAGACGAATTCGCTGATAATTGTGACGTCTCTTCCTGCTGAAAAATGATAAATTTGAGATAGGATAGTATTCGGAGCAATAAAACTTTTAATTCGCTGGAAACTCCACTTTACGGAATGTGACACTGAATTATTATACATCAACGAAATCTATAAACATCCAGATTAACTTCATGTGGAGAGAAAGGCTGAAAGCAAACAAGTAATTCAACATACCAGCCTTCAACTCCGTTTTGATATGCTATTGTAAGAATGGACATCTTTAGTAAAAGATGTCGTAAAGTACTTGATTTCCTAACAATCTGGTATAGTGCACATGATGCTACTTTGTCGGACCTGTTCAAAAAATCCCTCAACAGTTTTCAGCTGTGGCCTAATAAAGGCTACCTTGTTACTCTGCAAAAAATAAATAATATAAATTACTGAACATATCATGCGGTAAACTAGCGAAACCAGAGCAAATGAAACCTGAGCGACAAACAATCACTATAAATAGTCCAATAAGACCCTTCGGAAACAGTGGAAAATTTTCTCAGTTCTTGGTCATAAGCAACGCATCATTTTTGGACAGCTTGGCCACCTCCAAAACATTTTTTTAAAAGAGGACGTTCTCTGCTTTTGGAGCTTGGTTAAGGAGCCTTATGAAAGCGTAAGACCTTTGATCTTGCGTGCTTCCACCTGGTGCCGTGAGGCGCTCGCGAAAAGCTACACCTCGACCCTTCAGTGGACATCAGATAGATTTTATCAAGTATAAGAGTCCCCTGTCAAAGCAAGTAATCCAACTTGGATGCAGGAAGCCAGGGCTACGTATGGTATGCGACTCTCTAAGCTGAAGTGTGACGACATTTATCCTGAGTATACCTGTTGTGAAATCATTTATCCCGTCTTCTTAAGATCACCACTCAGTCAAATGTAGTTTTATTATCACCATAAAGTCAAGCAACTCTTAATAACGTATGAAGCCCTGTTCCCTTAGCTGTCACTGCCAGTGTGATGAACCAGTGACCAACGGGAGCCAATTTTGTTCTCCGTCTTATAACTAACCTTTTTTACCTCTGGTTATAAAGAATAATTTTTGGTCCAGTTTGTCAAACAAATCCCAAAACACCTAAAGTAAAGGCAGTCGATCGCACAACATTTACGAGATTCAGTGTTACATATGTGCCTTTCTGTTCTGGTTAGTTTTCCAGTTCATTCCATAATGAAGGTGGCCTTCGGTATTCTTCTAGTTCTGCAAAGGACCACAAAGTTGGTATATCCATTTGATTCCAGTACACATTACTAATAAGTCGGAATCCTTCATTATTGCATGTGACATTTATTAAGCGTTTCTACTCAAATAGGATTCTATTCACACGATTACTATTGAATGTCATACACCCTTGCGAAGATTCAAATTTGGGGCTGGCGTACACATATATGAGCACTTTACTACGGGCGTCAGATTTTATCCCAAACAAAAAAAGGTCTTGCATAATTTCACTGTTTTGGATATTTGAATCTGAGAATTTTAACTGCTCTTAAATCCTTTCACACCTTGCCTCTGTTGTTAGATCAACTAAAGACTGTTAGAGGGAACAAGGCGTAGTAAATTGGCAGTAAAGCATTTGCAATCTGTCTGACGCTTATGAGAACATTCGGAAACCATCATTATAATCTACTTAAAGGGAGTGCCAACTACGACAAATGTAGTCTGCTTGAATTATCACATCCTTTTGGGAAAACGCCGTTACTGCAACTGTTTGGGGTCGTTCAAGGGAAACGAGCGTTTTGTAGTACGCCATGCATCCAGTTGAACGAGGACTGTTTGCTTGCATCACCATACACATTTGGCGGTTGTTTATTTGTTACAAAACTCCATCCTAACAAGAGAAAAACTACAGGTGCCACATTGTTTGTGGGATGAAGCTATCCAAGAGATTCCTCCTGATCGAAAAAGCCACGAATCGCAGAAAGAGTGCGTTACGTAAGGAAGACATTTGACTTCTTGTTATATTACCTGCCACAATAAATGCAGCGGTTGACTTCACGGAACAAAGAGGCATCCTTTTGCTCAGGGGCAACCGTAGCCTTAAATACTCAACAGTTGGCCGTATTTCTCTAGGACAAATGCGTAGAAGCTATGAAGAACACGTTGTGATAAGCCCAAAGCTTACTAATGATACACAAATGTCAAAAGTCCATTTAAATCCACCTTTCCTGAGCGACTGTTTTTGGTTTATTTCTATCTTTTATCCAGAAATCCAGCAACAAACCCCTACTCGCCGGCACCAGGTTGACTCACAACTATGTTAGGCCAAACCTATCATCCGCGTTATACATATCACAAAGTCCAGTGAAACTGCATCACTGCCAACCACAAAGATTACTTAGTCAGGCTGCCAACGATACGCCGGTCGCAAGGAAATATGCCAGGTAAGACCCAGTTACTCGTTGGTTGAAACCGTTCCCGTTTGTGCGGTTTTTAATGAGCACATAAATTACCTTATGTAGAGGAGCCGCCGCCCTGTTAAAAACTAGACGTTTGTAACAGGCTTTTACTCACTTATTCATTTAGAAATGAACTACACACCAAAGTAACATTCTTCTGGCGACCACAGTTTTAGTCAGCGACAGAAGACCATGGAAAAGCCAGCTATGCTTTCAACAATCCAGTGAAGATAATGCTCGTTCAATACTTGTTTGGATTGGTGGCCTCTATTTCCCCCCTTCCAAATAGTTCTCACTCCGGACTTGACTGTCCCGATTGGGAATGCTGTGATTTCATTTTGAGTGGTACTCTTCCCACGTAGTATCAATTCTAGAATTTTTTCTAAAAATTGTGCATTCACTTGACTTACTGTTCTTGGATAATTATGGAAGATTATATTGCATTAACAGGTAAAAGTAGTTTGACATGTTCCGTGACGAATGGATTCTGGGTTGAACCATACGCTAAGCTCGTCCTTCGGCGCAGCGAAACTTTAATAGAATAGTTTCGTAGCGCATAATAATTCCACGAGGCTAATTCGCTTCTGAGTCATTTCTGTACCAACCTGGCGAAGTTGCATCTTGTATGTTAAAAGCATGCCTATATCACCGAAGACCAACCACAGCAGTTTTGCTCAATATATTCCATCCAGTCATACTAACAGCACTTTGCTTACCTATTCAGGAAGCCCATGATTCCATTTGGCATTTAACAGATTTTTCACTCTCATCTACTCAAAGCCTACTTTAATTGACGATCACCTCATCTGTATTTTGATTTTTTGATTGCATCTGCTTGTAAGTAATGATACTTTTTATTTTTACCAATGGGAAAAATCGCATGCGCTCTACGAAATGTCCTAACATTAATCGATTTGCGTGGGAGTGAAGGGAACTGCGTGACACACGTAGGGACTTAGAGCTGCTTTACACTACTCAGACACGTTGGGGCGGAGCAAATTCACTGATGGTGTGTTACAACGGGTTCGAAATCAGCAAGCATAGTGTTTAATAATGCAGGTGCAAGTAAGTGCACGCATACAGATTGACCAGGATACTAGATATTGTAGTCTTTTACGGGTGTTCACGCATGCTCCCACAACCCTACGCTTGCATCGTCCCAAAACTGCATTAGTTGTTTAGTGATTCTGCTAGGACTTAAAGTACAGTGTCGCTAAACTTGCTGGTAAAACTTAGTAAGCTCCAAAGGAACAAAACAAACGTTTAGATGAAAGAAAGGGACGAAAACTGGCTCAAATATTGGCAGTGTCTCATCCCTTACGGTTGCTTAAAGTGGCTTGACAACTGGAAAAGGAGTGAGATTTATAGCCGAACGACTACCATTTTATGATTATCTTCTACTACCATAGGTCCATTTTATATACGCTATGATCTCGCGGTTGCTGTGTTGTTGGTAACAAGAGAGAAGTGGCGAATTTTTCCAATAAGCACTTCATTGTCTTCCATACGGTAGTGCAATTTTTGGAATTCTTGGCCCCATTTTGGTGTGGTGTACCTAATTGATCCGCTTTTGTTTGCCTTTGACCAGTTGATCACTTCAGTGCTGGTTTGCACAAATGGGGACTGAGAACAGAAAATTACCGTTAGGTTCGTTAGCTCCTTCTTAGCTATTAGAAGTGGATACTCCTCATTGATAGCCGAAAACGAGTATCTCAATAAGAGGACTGAGGACTGATAGGCTGTCAATGAGGGACGCGGTTCTCAGTGTTACGTAGAGTAGTTCTAATTTAATATGTTGTAAAACAAGCATGTTACCACTACTGTGTGGTTTCTGGAAATGTTATCCTGATGTTGGCCAAACGATCCATTGGACGGTATTTTTGTGGAACAGGTTTCTGCATTTACTGTCATAGTACTCGATCCAGATGACTTCTACACGAGGTGCCGAACTGTCCCCTCTAAAGGAGTGTGCATCCTCTTGGGGAAGGCAAACGCGCGAAGCATATCCTGTACTTGCTTAACCTGATAAAACGAGAATTTGGCGTCATTTTGATGGTTTTATTTGCAGACAGATTGGGAAGGCCAGAGCAGCTTTTGCGAACCTACGTCACCTGCGACGTGGGCGTTGCATCAGCCTCTCTGCCAAGGGTCGGGTTTACAATGCTGCGGTGCGCTCCATATTACTATATGGATCAGAAACCTGGCCGCTGCGCGCCGAGGACGTCAAAAGACTTTCAGTGTTTGACCATTGCCCGAATCTGGTGGGAACACCGGATCAGCAATTTTGAAGTACGTCTAATGGTATTCGGGAGAAATAACTCACCCTCGATAGATGAACTGATCACACTGCACAGGTTGCGCTGGCTTGACCACGTGCTGCGTATGCCAGTCGACCGACTTCCTCGAAGGGCTCTTTTCGCCCAACCATGTGAAGGGTGGAAGAGAGCCAGAGGCGGTCAAACAATGACTTGGCAGCGAAGTGTGACATCCATTACAAAAAACCGTCTTACTGGATGGGAACCCCGAGACGGTCCACATCAGTGGTTAGAGACATTGTCAGATATGGCCCAGTCGCACCCTCAATGGTGCTCGTGCATCCAAGCTACTGCCTTCAATGCATAGCTCCCTTCACAATTTACCCACTTAACAGTCCACCTACAGTGCTGCGTCTTACCAATAATCCGGCACTGGCTAAGTAGAGCCAAATTGAAACTGCAGGCGTAAGCTCGATGTGTTAGATATATTCTAAGGTTAAAGGGAGTGGCGAAGTGTTGGACCAGGAAAATAGTGAAATCTTGTATTGCTTTATCCTACTGTCTGGCTTCTTTAGCTTAGGTACATCTTGACAGTGCGTCCTAGGTCAGAAAACGTTTCTTCTTCAAGATATTGGTAAATCAATTTGAAGCACATTCACAAAATATCTAATAGAATGAGGGTTCGAAATTTTTGTTCAGATTTACTCTTTTGAATGAAAGGCCAAGAAACACTGTACGGCTGCTTCATCCTTGTCGGGAAATATCAGCACGTAACTCCAGGTGTTTTCCACCCCCAACTTCCCGGCTATTAGTTCGGATACTTAACCTTTTGGTTATATACCTTGCTTAAGCGAAATACACTCACACTGATGACCATCCGCCAGTGGCTTTCCAGTTCTGTACCTCTGTTTTTGCAAAAAATGATGTTTTTAAATTACGATTGTGAGCAATATTTATTTAGTAATACGTAATACTCACCAAACCTGAACCTTCCGTTTAATGAAATAAGTTCATATGCCGAAACTTCATCCTAACCAGTTTAGTGAAAATTCTAAGCACGATTTCCACGTGAATACCGTTTATCACATCTTGTGGGGTTGTCCTTGAGGTTCTGTATGTTTGACTATATCTTGAGATGCTCTGCGTCCGGCTCCACTTTTTAGTTAACCGTGAGATCCCTCTAATACAGACGGTGGGAGTGGGGCGTCGATTTGTTTTACAAGGCAGGGTAGGAGTTTTACGTGTGACCTGCAACCACAGTGTATAATCTTACTCTGGTAACATTGATGTTGTAACCCAGCAATTTGTATACTGATCTGGCCACTCAAACGTGCACTTGAAGAGTCAATTCTTTCGGATTACTGCTACAGTTTATTCAGTTTTTTAAAAAGCCTAAACTCAGGCAGGTAGGGAGGAATCATTCATTCAAAGCCGCACTGGTTATGTGTTTTCCGTTGATGACGAAAAGCTTGCAAGTAATTGCAAGTAATTCGGCTAAAAACAACTGCGAAATCACCCTCGAACTATCATTACTCCTGTTCGAACAGTACTCAAGTCCTTACAGGTAACTTTGGCGGAACGATTTCTCCAAAATCGCCTACGAACCGTTGACTACCACACATTACTTGATGATGAGTTTATTCCCTGATTTATCGTGCTGATCGCCTGATTATTGCTAACCGCAGCCACCAAACGGACCAAATTAAGGTGACAACTCGTTGAGGAGAAGATAAAAGGTAGGAAGGACTAGTAGAGAACTTTATACTGTGGCTTGAAGGCAGAAAAATATACGGGTTTGCTCAAATTTATAGATTATACTGGTAATTTTTGAGATATATGAGAGCGTTTCTTTGCCAAGGTAAACAAGGTAGTTGTTGTTGCAGCTTCCCAAACTTCTACAACTTCACCAAGTCGTTATGAATTTTTGCTAAGACATCACTTTCCTCAATGAATAGCATATGCATGTTCATAGATACCAGATTAAACAATCTAAAGCCTGAACTTTTCTGTAACTGGTTTATTGTAAATCGCCGTGCACCAACCACAACCACGAAGTTGAACCACCATCTTAGTTGTGTACAACGCAGTGTTTCCTGTAAAAAAAATTCCTCTCTGAAGAAACCGCCTGCAGAAGATGTCATATTTTGTTCTTCTGACTGGATAATGGGGATTCTGGTGAATTACCCTTGAAGGTCTCAGAAGGGCTCACATCTTAAGTTCCTTATAAGAAACCAAAATCCATCAACTTCGGTTGTCAGACGTATAATCGATGGTTTTTCGTTCTTGGAATTCTCTTGTAGCCACTTAAAAAGAGCATCACTGGATAAGAGGAATCAGATAATTATTCTGGTACTTGTTGGTGAAAATTTCATCAATGAAGCTTTCTTTCTGCTCCGATGTGGCGCCTAATTAGGCAATTGACGATCTGGGGGAAGAAGTGTGCGACACCACAGAATGCATGGTGCACAATTATTGGGAAATGATTTGGTTATTCAAAGCTAAATTAGACAATATGAGGGGAAACACGGAGTGCCGTTTTTGTGTTAGCAGAGGTCATACTTAATCCTCGAGAGGAGGCGCTCTAGTTTTAGCAACGAAAAGATGCGAGAGATAACTTCTCTTCGATCCAGAGCAATCGTACTACTGTAAATAGCTGGTCTATTGGTCGTCCATCCTCACAACTGACCTGGAGTTTCACTTAGGTTTGTGGGAAGGCTGTGATCCAGTCCGGAAAATCCCAAGTATGCAAAGGCTTCCATTTGAGATTGGTTAGGTGAACGCTTTTAACTTTCTCTTTTCGATGACTACCTTTTGTTAAACTTGTCACTGACAACACATTTTAGTGGATCTCTTTGGCTCGCCGTCCAGAGTTGGTAGGGCTTTTCTTAACCACACTGTATAATTTTATAGTTTCATCAACCGGTATTTTTGCAAAACCAAGCGTACAGTTTCATGATGTCTATAGGTCAAGGCGACTTTGCAGTTTGCCATCATTCCAGAAGAGTTTTCGTCACATGCATTTAACTAGCTGTTTGACTGGAACAATCTTTCTATTTGAATTTGTGAAACAGTTTCATATTTTGCGCTGAGCATTTAGGCTCAAATCAGTTTCTGGTTACGTGGAGTGAAATAAACCGAGCTGACAGTCAATTACTGGCCTTCTTACATCCCGCTATTCATTTAGCTACTTAAAGCTTGTAGGTTTGACTGAAGTCCAATATTTATCCTGAAGAACGAGCTTCGTCGATCGCCACGTTTACATGCTTAGTGTTTATCTTTTTATGGTAAATGACAATTAGAGAGCTGTTCACAAACGATGAAGGTGAATGTAAATTATTTATCTGCTGCGTTTCATGTTTTCATTGAAGACCGGCCCACACGGTTCTAAAAGCTCTTCCGTCCTCGGTTCCCATATCATGAGAGTTTATCGTCCCCGAAATTTGTAGTCTTCCCATATTGATATTCTTTCGCTTCACCAAAGCTTGCAAGACATGTCACTGCGTACGTACTGTATATAAGTTTGAAGATCTATTTGAGTAGTTTTAAATTCTCCTACTTATTATTAGAAGGCCGAATTTATGGAAACTCGAGAAGCTTGTAAGTTTGGTAGAACAAAACCAAATATGTATTCTTTGCTCGAATGCTGATAGGCTCCATACGAATGAAGGAAAAGGGATGCTGTTGCATTCGTAAAGTAATCCTGCTGGAGATAAAACCTTTTTAGATGGGTTATATTCCTGGGGAGTTTACAAGAGTCTCTTCCTGTTTACCGCCCTTTGTCTTCTGAAATGCGCAAACAACATAATGTGTACACATTTTAAGTGTGGTATTCCTCATAAGAGTTACTGTCACGGTAAAGCAGGGTGTTCAGATATTCTGCGTGTTTGTTATGGGATCACACACTAAATCAAGGCTGATAAAGCATGTTTTGAATCGCCAAAAGGAGTGAGGTCTCTCCCAAACGGCGTGTTGAGAACCAACCCAGTATGGGTGGTTCAAAAACCACATTTATCCCGATGCCATCGCTCTTTATTAGATTATTGACTTTACTGAGGTAAAGTGGGTAATTAGCAGTGGCACTTTGATGGTTATATTAGAGAAATCTAACGGAGATGCTGCTTGGACAATGGAGAAATGGCTTTTGAACCCACTGTATGTGTTAGGTAATATTGTAACCTATGACCGGCTACACGTTGAAAGCACATTTGACTCCGTCTCATACATTTTGATTTTCTATTCTGAAGTTCAATTTTATACCGGTGAGTTCTAAGTTATCTGGCTTATTTTTTACCACTATAAAGCACCCCATTTAGCTTATTCTCTGCACGACTTTTGCGGTGGGTTCACGAAAGACACGAAAATCGATATTTCTTGGAGTTCATGACACCTCAGTCTAACCATTCGGAAGACAGGAAAGTTGTGCGTAAAAGTTGAATAAACTGAATTTATAGGACAAATTTACACAAAATTGTGAAGTTCCTCCTTAGTTGTAATCTGTTACGAACATTGTACCCTAAAGCTGGTATTACTTAGACCCTGAAAACGAAAGAAGCTACGGTTTCAACTGTTTCTATTAGATTAAAGCGTGCGTATTCATTTAGCAACGGAGACATACTATATTTGCCGCTATCGACTGCCACGTGAGCTAGAAAAACATGCCTGGTCGTGAATTCACTTGTTTAATAAGCTTCTTCAAGTGGTGGTTTAGGTAAAGTTATACATCGACTCCCTCAATTATGCAAAGCCTTCGCTAATCAGGCGGTCGTGGATAAAAAAGACTACCTAACCCAACAGTGCTTAGTTCCAAACTGTTACAAACTGATGTATCTGTAGCACATGTGCATTTTTAGCTGCCAATTCTGTTTGTAAATATCTGTAGGTTGTGATCATTGAAGAATCACTGTTTTGTATTTCAGAGGCACCTCTCACGCCACAATTATCGATTCTCTATTCGACTCACTCAGGCAGGCAGATTGTGATACGGTGGATGCCAATGATTTACTAGATGTAAGTGAACTACGTCATCTTTATTTTTAAACACTTAACAATTATTCCACATCCAAACTGTTTCTTGAAACTGCTGAAGCGTGGAACGTGCCTTTGAGACATGGAGTTGGATCTTGCAAAAACCTTTTGACAAGTGCGGATAGCATTGTACCATTTTGTTTGGAAGTGATGTTCTAGCTGGTTGCTGGTGGACATTTTATTGTGCGATGTGACCTGGTTTACGGCCCAACCAGAATACTTCATATAGGAATTTACGTCCATGGCTTAGTACTCATTTCAAGAACACAACTTTCAATAGTTCGCTTGTATAAGTGCTAAAAAAGCAGTACACCTCTGTATTAAACAGTTCCACCCAAGCAGCGAATGAAAGAAAGAAAGGATTTTTACAGTGTCAACATATCCCCTTAATAAGAAAATTATGCCCAGACAATACACAGAAAGTCCCGCGATTTGATTTCTCATTGTCTTGTGAAGCTTTGTGGGTGAAAAGTGCATACCAGAGGACGGGATGACTTTGGTCAGTTCATCCAAATACACCTGCACCTTCTCTTCGGAGATAAGAGTGATGTCGTCTGCATATTCCAGATGTACAAGGCTTTCGTCACAGGCTATTTGAACACCAGGGTTTTGAAAATATTTCAGCATTCGTCTTGTGATTCTATCGATCACGAAGTTAAATAGAAATGGAGAAAATGGGTATTCCTGATGGATATTGCTTTGTGTACGGAAGCTTTTGGTGAGCCCGCAATCCAGAATTCTGGGAACACAATGAGCTTATTATGTTCATAAACTTCCGGGATATATCTTGGTGGGCAAGCGTGTCAAGAAGAACGGACAGGTCAACCGAGTCGAATGCGCCTTGGAAATCCAGGAATACTAGAATTGTGGGTACCTTATACGTATGGCGTTGTTTTAGCACCTAACGGAGTGCGAAGGTTAGGTCAACGCAACCCCTGCCAGCCCGGAATCCCGCTTGATGCTCTCGAGTCAGTATCTCATGAGCCACCGTAATGCGACGAAGCACCAGTGACGCAAAAATTCTCGTAATGACTGGGGTAAAGTTGATCCCCCTGTGGTTGCCACACTCACCACCAGTCCCCTTTTTAAAAATGGGCACTATCACCAATTCGCCCCAGTTGTCCAGGACCGACTCTTTTTCCAAAATACAAGCAAACACATCAGACAAGCGCTTACTGAGGACTTTATCTCTATATTTGAACAATGCGAACGAGAGGTCACCCGGACCATAAGCCCAGTGGCGCTTGAGAGTACATATGCAGTCATAAACCTCCGATGACGTAGGCGATTCCATGTTCAGCGTCCAGGGTTCTAGATGGGTCCGATCGCTGATGATCCCTTTCACAGGTGGAAACCATTGTTAGTTAGAGTCACTAATATAAAGCTGGAATATTGTAACAGTCCAAAGTTTTTGAATTATGCAATGTGATATGTGATATCATTTGTTCATTGCTTGTTTGAGTGGTGTATGTGCCTTCCAAACCCTACTTGGAGGATCAGTTGGCTGTGTTTGTCATACCTGTAACCATTGACCATCCTTGTATGAGAGACCTCGGGTGTCGCGGGGATACCCTGCAGTAAGCATGACGGGTCACTGATGTGCGCAAACCGTCACACCACGATAAGCTCCAGTATGTTCGTGACAGAACATATCTAGTACGGTAAGACTGATATAATAAAATGATAGCATACTTCTTCCGGGTAGTATTGAGCCAGACGCTTCTCAATGAGGAAGCAAACACTTCTACTCATCCGAAATTTTCTGCTGCTTCTTATTTGGTGAGCTGATCATATTCCATGGGTTACATTCCTTATCTAATGAAGCACAGTGTACATCCTTTTTAGGAATGCTTGAGCTCCACCCCGGTAGTTGACGAGTAGTCATCGGACCAAAGGGAAGCACAGGAAAAAGTTATTTCAGTTCTATCCTTTTGATTCATAAGGCTCTCTCTTCTCTGCATTTCACGAGTTTCACGTGTTCAGCCTAGGAAATCAAAGCTGTCATGAGAACCAATGCAAGTCATAAAGTACTCTGATTCCCATCTGTGCAAGAATGACTTATGGATGTTTTGACATTGCAAAAGGACGTATCGATTACTTTTTCCGTACCTTGCTCTTTGTTTTAACAAATCTGTGAGCGAGACAGACACATTTCTCTCGGACTCACTACCTTTCATGCCTGTCTCATTCTATGAAGTGCTACAGGCACTACCTATTGGCCAATTTCCATCACGCTCTGATGTATCCGCTCGTTACTGGACCTAATTCCGTTATTTTATGAATACCTGACAGAGTCCTTTTATCCTTCCAGTAAATTTCCCTGTTACGACTGTTTTGATTGTGATATTGCAGATAATCGCGCGGTTTCTATCGAACAGTTGGTCAAAACGACAGGATATCTGTAAAAATTCCATCGACCAGTGCTCGGTGACGTGCCGATACATAATTCTCACGTCAACTAGGTGTCCGAATAAAACAACAAAAATTTAAAAACCATTCTAAAGATAGGAAGTAGCAGTGAACACTAGGAAATCTCGATCACATTAGGGCCTTCTCCATCTTCTTGCGTAAGCGAAAAGCGCTCACAATTTTGTGAAATCTGTCCAACGGAAAGGGCAAAGATGACAGACGTAAGTGGTACATGGTGCCGGTAGAATGTCATCTTTCTGGCTGAGGTGTCAAAAGTTGTGCTTTCGTTGTACTTTCTTCCTTTGCTATCTGGAAAATTCGATTCCTTAGAACTCCCGCAACAAGCAGCGCTTTCAAAAGACAACACTAGTTGTGTCTTAGTTGTCCTCGATATGTGGTGAAGCTGGTATAATTGCCCTCTATGGACTTATCGTTCACCTGCTAACCTATGTATTCAATCACTGTTAGCTGTCTCCTTGGCTCATGTTTTTTCTCATTGATGTATGGTCCACGCTTTTCGACAGTATTCTATGATTGATGCTAGGAAAAACACATTAGGTGGCAACCGCAGAAACGACTGGAAACTACTCCGCACGCAATGCGAGTTCCCCGTATCAATGAGAAACTCAGCATTTTCGGTTTTGATCACGTATATCCACTTGTCTCAAGCGACTCTGTTAAAGTTTTTTTCATGAGGTTCGAAAATAGGTGGGGTTATTGGTTTACTTATTCTCAAGACTCAACCAACTAACCCGTTCATAACCTCAGTGTCATTCAACACAAGACTTTTTTAGGTGCCTACTCTGTCACCTTTAACTTGTAGGCAGTAGGTTTTCAACTCATTTTTCACCCTTACTCTGGACAGTGACCTTCGTAAATTCCACCAATCTAGCAAACCTGTAAAAGCCCTCTTGGTTTGAAAACTTTCGAATGGAATAAATCATACAATTAATTTAACCAACTGGGGTGACTATCCGCTTATCAGTCACCGTCAACCAACTTTAAGTTTTGGTACCCTCCCCATATTATTTTATCGACGCAATAGTACAACAGAATAATGCTCACCATCTTTGATTCTAAACCTTTTGTCTTTCACGTTTTGTCCTTCTGAAAATTGGGTCGATCAGTACAACAGAATAATGCTCACCATCTTTGATTCTAAACGCTTTTGTCTTCACGTTTTGTCCTTCTGAAAATTGGGTCGATCAGTGCCTCCTAACTGATTGCAACTCGGCAAGACCCTAGTTTGATCGATAACACTTGTCAGTTAGCCAGGTGAAGTGTTCTGTCTCATTCAGTTGGGGTGATTAAGTACTACCTTCGGTTACAAACTATGGGAACAAAAATTCACCGACAGTTTTATTATCCGTTCCTCACTCTAGATTCCTGCTTTCAAAATCCAACTTCCAAGTTCCACATCACACCGTCATAAACGGACTGCTGTTGAGGTTGGAAACTTTCACAGACTAACAACAGTTTAGTCTTTCATTGTTTGGAGTTATCAGTCGAGGTTCATCGCTATTGATTTCATATCAAAATCGCTTTTCAATGAACAGTCAAACACTCTCAGTACACAGATTAGGCAACGGTTCTTGACCGAACTGCTATACAAGCAGAGAAAACTGCTAAAGTCTTTAGTCTTCTGCTTATCATTACACTATCGGTTGGGCATCTACCCTCTCTGGAAGCAGATTTTGGAAACTAATTGATAAACTGAGTATCCTTGGATTTTCTATTGTAACAAATCTACTGTTTCTAAGGTTTATTTCAATTTTGCCGGAGAAATTTTTGTCTGAGTTTTTGAAAATGGGAAGACGGTCAAAACTAATTCATTAGGTCGACGCCTGAAGTAAACCTCTAGTTTCTGTACTACGGGGCGAGGTTGAGTGTACCGTATTTTTAACATCTTTGCCTGTGGAGTACTGCGATATTATGGTGCAACAGAGCAAACCAACATACTGTATTATCTAGGCCACAATCAATGCGAGACTTAAATATCATCCAGCTAAACCCATAGAAGAATCATTGGGAACCCAATCCGTTGAACGTTTGAATTGTAGTTTAAGTTCATCATGCTCCCAGTTATGGAACTTTGTACTGACCCCAAGCCCAAGTGCAGGTCAAACTATTACGAATCCAGGCGTGCATGGATGGCTGATTTGGCATGTCATTACTACAGGCATGCCCGTGACAACGACGATTCAACACTACGGTTAACCTTTGAATCTGGTCTAGTGACCTAGAGAACTCTTATGACGCCTCTATACGGAGCTAATCTGACCGATTTTGGAAGCGAAATTGTAGTATTTTCAGTTCGAAGGGCTCGATTCCATGGTGAACTGGTCGTAGTCAGAAGCTTTTTCGAGATAGGGATATTTCCATTTGGTTGATATACTCGTGTAGTAAGGTAATAATCTATATTAAGATAATTTTGGTGCAGTTGATCAAAACTTTCCTAATTTGCCCTTGGCCTGGTTACAATAAGTAGTTAATATGCGCGGAACTTGAAGTGCCCGTTGAAAAAATGGGAAACTATTGCTGAATAATCAGCACGATAGAATCCTAGTGCCACT